GCCAGACTTCGTCTCACCTATTTTGGTCATGTTGTAAGAAGGGACCATTCCCTGGAGAAGGATGTCATGCTTGGTAGGGTGGAGGGTCCACAAAAGAGGGAGAGGCCTTCAAGGAGATGGATCCACCACACCTGGCTCCTTAAAAGTGTAGTCTCGGACCAGCATCACTGGCATCACCTGGGAGCTCGTTAGAAATAAGCATTCAGACCTACCTCTTGGTATACGGGGTAGATCGGAGGTTCCAGACCTCTGAGGGCCCCTCACCTGGCAGACCTGAAAATCTGGCGGAGGCCCACAGAGCACTCAGCACACGCCCACAGCTTGAGGCGCGGGGTCGGCTGCCGGCGTCCACCTGGAGCTCAACAGAAAACCAGGGGCGGAGATAGTAATGTCGGGGTAACCCAGTTAACCAGTCAGTCGGAATCCCGGCGCCACCTGATGGTCAAAGGTAGGGTCTGCCTTTCTCTGGCTAAGAGGGCGCCCGAGAGTGAAGATCCACTGGGACCGCCCGCCCCCTCATCTCCCACGAGAGCAGTCAAACGGTGAGCTGTCTCCGCCACTCGCCCCGGAAGGACCTTTCCCCAGAAGCCTCCGCCGCAGAGCCCACACTTCTGAAAGGAGACACCCGGCACGTGAAGGCAGTTTTGCAGTCCCTTGCCCTTTCCCTCCGAGCCACTTGGTGACACTACTCATTAATCTGTTTCCCAGTTTCTTCTTGCGTTCAAATTCCGCGCCTCTCACGCTACAAGAGGTATCAATCTCGCGACATCTCTCGTAAACTTACAGAACCGGAAAGAGTTTGTAGATCTTTTTCCTTTTGCGTCCATCGCTGAAAAGGCAGCGGGTGAGGATTCGCCGGGAAATCGTGTGTAATCTGCCGCAATCCCTTCCCAGCTCCGGTGACCCTGGCTTCCGGGGACTCCAAAACTTTCCCAGCGGCCGAATAGCAGCTAAATAGGGGTGCCAGGATGGCACACACCGTTTTCCCCTTACATCAGGAGCCCCTGGGCTGGGGAAGGGAGGCAAGATTGGGAGTGTTGGGACGCAGAAACTGTGGAGGGAAGGGGGCCTGTCGAGATGGAGTCAAGTCTTGGCAGTATAGTTTCCGAAAGAACGGTCTTGAGATAACTTCTCAGTAAAGCAGTCGTGGAACTTCCAAACCGCGCTCGCCCATTGGAAGGCTTTTTGGACCGAGAAAACTGCAAGATTTTCCAGGTTCGGGGCGGAGGGGCTTGATTGATTTCTTTTGGAGGGACCTAAGTATGTATGTATACAGAAGTTCACAAAAAACAGTAACGTTGATTGGTCCGTTTAAGAGGTGACTTCATATTTGAAAAATTGAGTTGCCTGTCTACTGTGCCCTAATGTAGCAGGAATACTTAGAAGTCTGGTCTTCACTCATGCAGTACTCACGGAGTTTTGAGAGTTTAAGCACAAAGTTCAGTAACAAGAAAATGTGCTATTAATGGGAAAAATTTTATCCTATAAACAAATACAGAAAATGTCCTAGTAAAGCAAGATTTTAAAGTGTCAAGAATAGACCATTAAGGTCAAGCAGTTTTTTAGAATTAAAGAACGTAACGGTATCTGTGAGTATTCTAAACTTCCAGGTTGAAATTGTTGCCTTTACTTGTTTGAAACTGAATGAGATTTTTGGCGATTTGAAGGTTTATACATCTTTTCATTTTACACAGTCAAAATGAAGTTCAATCCCTTTGTGACTTCTGACCGGAGCAAAAACCGTAAAAGGCATTTCAATGCACCTTCCCACATTCGCAGGAAGATTATGTCTTCCCCTCTTTCCAAGGAACTGAGACAGAAATACAATGTTCGGTCCATGCCCATCCGAAAGGATGATGAAGTTCAGGTATGTATCCTAATGTGTTTCAGCTTTTTCATGTAGCTAGAAAGCCTTTTTAAAGACTTAAACCAATCTCTTGATGCAAGGAAAAGGATTGCATTCTCAGAGTGAATTACCTGATAACGTTCTGCTCACAGAACAAAGAATTGCAAGAGGAGTTGATCCAGGAGTGAAAAAAAAAAAGTGTGCTGATTCTCAGTTCTTATTTCACTTTACCCTTTGGTGAAAATCAAATATCAGATGCAGCTGTAATTAAATAAAAGAACAAAAAACATGGCCCAGAATCAGAGCATGACTTTTTGATTATCCTTTGCGGGATCTGTTCAGCCATTGAAAAGGCATTTGAGGGCCAGTAAACAGAATTGTTCAGAAGTTCTCATGAAACATAGTTTCGTATGATTTGTTTCAGTTTATTTGTTTCAGTTTATTTGACAGTTGTCAAATCTAAGTAAAAATTCCTATGCATGTTTTCTTAGCTGTAACCTGCAATGAGTGATTAAAACATTTGGATAGTTTCTATAAAGTGGTTAGTGTATCACCAATATTATTTTAGGAGACTAATGTCATTTAGATAAAATGAAACCATTTCCAGGTAGGAGGAGCTGTGTGGATAAACAGCCACTGGTCCCTGCTATCCTCTTGCTGAAATTGCCTGTAGTTGGGGAAGCAGTCTTGTTTTCTCAAGACATCTTATTGCAAGAAAAGATAGAATGCTGAAAAGACAGATCTGCTCAGAAGCAGATCCTGGCAAACAAGACCAGTAAGGCTCTTGGGTAGGAACCTGTGTCAGTTGATCTTAGAGAAAAAGTTTGTTTCTGCCCACTCTCTGACTGACACTGGGTTGGACTCAATGGATTGTGAATTAAATACTTGCAACTTGTTGTTTGTTTGGAGATATTACTACAAAAAATTCAGAAGCCCGAAGTAGGCTCATCTCTTAACCTTTTATAACAAGCCCACCACTGCTGGTGACCCCATCATCTGTAGACATGCACTGTTCATCTTTGTAGATTTAAAGGAGGGGTGATTTATTTGCAGGTCACAGTTTTTCTAGTTTACAGAGTTGATCTTAATTCTTTTCTCCTGTGTTTCCTTTATTTTTAAATTTGCACCTAGGTTGTGCGAGGTCACTACAAAGGTCAGCAAATTGGCAAAGTTGTCCAAGTTTACCGGAAGAAATACGTCATCTACATTGAACGGGTACAGCGAGATAAAGCTAATGGTACAACTGTCCATGTGGGCATTCACCCCAGCAAGGTAATGTTTTGGTAAATAGTTGAAAGACGAGAAGGAAATAATGACATTGTTACTGTTGTTGTTAGGTGCCATCAAGTCGGACCCAACTCAAAGAGTCCCTCCTTGAGTTTGTGAGGCTGTATCACTACGGAAGTAGATTGCCCAACCTTCCTTCTGAGGAGTGGCTGGTGGGTTTGAACTGCCAGCCTTCAGGTTAGCAGTCAGGTGCCTTAGGCACTACACTACCAGAGCTCCTGCATTGTTATTGGCAAATATAATTTAAAATCACATAGAAATATCTCTGGTTTTAGATGTGTTGTTGGAAACCATATCTTAAAGCAGATAGTGTGTTTTCTTGATTCTGATAGTATTGAGAAAGGAACCTTGATGGCCCAACTTTTAAGTTCTTGGCTGCTAACCAGAAGGTTGGTGGTTGGAACCCACCCAGCAGTTACGTGGGAGAAAGACCTGGAAATCGTGTAAAGATCAAAACCAACCAAACCTGTTGCTGTTGAGTTGATTCCAACTCATAGTAACCCTATCCTGTAGGACAGAGGAGAACTGCCACATAGGTTTCCAAGGCTTGACAGAAGGTTGTGAGTTCAAACCACTACCCTTTCCGTTAGCAGCTGAGTGCTTCCCCACTGTGCCACTGTGATTCTTCCTATAAAGATTATAGCCTAGAAAACCCAATGGGGCAGTTATCTGACCTGGGGT